GCCCCTCTCTCTTTCTCTTATCTTCACCTTCCATTTTGTGGCTCACCTTCATTTGTTGCATGTGTCACCCGAATTAACTCGCGTAATTCGCAGGTCACACCCACATCGACATCTTGAAGGTGGACATTGAGAGCTGGGAGTTCGACTTGTTGACTACGTTGGTCAAGTCCTACAGGAATGCTGGGCTGCCGTTGCCATTCGGGCAATTGCAGTTGGAGATCCACGCTTGGCACAAGTCTTTCAAGGAATTCTTGGAATGGTGGCAAATGCTCGAGGAGGCTGGATTGAGACCTTTCTGGACTGAGGTGGGTGCTACCTCCCCAAATTCTGTTTCTGTTTTCGTTGCGCTTGACGCACTTGCCTTATTCTCTGGGTTCACATGATTGTGATTGTACTGACGCATTCTCTCTAGCCCAACCTCGTATACAACAACTACAACCGCGGAGGAACCGCTGACCTCGCGGAATACTCGTTCATCAACATCAAGGGCGACAATGTCTTCATCACCGAGGGTCCTGCCGGACGCCGCGACCATTAGAAATCTTCAGTCTCTTGTGTCTGCTGTTGCATGTTTCGGCAATAGATACTTAGAATCGTGCGAGATTCAATCCTCGCCATTCGGTGTTCCGGGAATTGGGACGGTTTCGACGCCGTCTTGTTTCCTTTTTTTACTTCACCTCACACAAATTCTTGGATTCGGAAAAAAAGAGATTCTGGAACTCTGCTAGGTACACATCTACATTACACGTCTCCTACCCCCGCCCATCGCCCTTTTTCTTCACCCAAGCATACGTATTATAGTACTTACCATCCTTAGCCTAGTGTACTATCTATTCGTATACCACCCCCCACATATCGCAGAATACCTTACCCTCTTTCTCTCTATCTCTCACCAATCGGAAAAACGGAACTACGGGAACGAGATACGTGGAGTGGAAAGTCTTTTTCCGGGAGCGTTGTCTGTCGTCCGAAGCTCCACGGTCGGTGGTGCTCGCGTCTCGCTAGTGTCGGAAACAGGGGATTGGGGCTGCGAGTACGAGAAACGAGTACAGATGAAGGCAATGAATTGCTCCGGTGCTCCACACCCTCGATTGGCAAATACTGGCGGCGAGTGGCAGCATTGCAGCCGTCGCGAATCGATATGCAAGTTTTGGATTGATTTTTGCTTGTGTGGAAATAGGTCAGGATCCGAGGTCGATACAGCTGAGGTCGGAAAACGGTAACCAAGTTTTGAGCAAGCCCCGCAAAGTCTGGAGGCGACAGTACATATACAAGTCAAAGTTGGAATAATGCGACAGCTCCGGAGCTTAGATCTAGAGCTCGAAACCACGAAAACTCGTTTAGGTTCCTAGAGCTAGGCGGTGACTGGGAGAATTAAGAGGCATATAAAAAGACACCATTCCACGACTCAATACACCGTTCGGGAATCGAACCCGAGCCGCTTGCTGCATAACTCCAGCTAGAAAACCAGTGAACTATGATGGAAGGCAAGCATGATAACCACTTCACCAACGGTGTATTTATGTAGAAATCAGTAAGGTGCAATATACATAGATCAACGTCAAGAAAGATTGAACTTAACAGGACGCGATCACGCGATCACAACGTTCAAGTTGAAGTTCAACTACCATCACCAACATTCAATGATTCATCGGACCATCAATTCTGGTAACGATTGGTAACGAATCCCTCTCGAGTATGGGCCGACCATGGGTGCAGTACGAACGTCATTTTTCTTTCACAGCGTCCCGTAACTTCTTATACGCGTAGATACCCGACTCGAGGAACGTACTGGATGTGTGCAAACACATCAAAGTCATTTATCAGGAATTTGGGACAAGCGGTGTTGGTGAGCTTTCCCCGTGTATCAGCATCCCGCTACATATTCAAACGACGATATTTTCGGTACCTTTCTCAAACTTGCACTTGGATCCAACCCACGCTTTGCCACAAATCACCTCATTTCCTCCTAAACTTCCCAGAAAGCTCTCTCGACTCCCACTGTAGTACACCAGTCGCTCCAAATGTTTTATCCTGTGGGTGAAGTTCCCATCGTGCGTCTATCCTCTAACATACCCGTGACGCTTTCAAGGGCCTATTCATGTCCTTTTGAGGGACCGGGAGCAAATTTGACTCGTATGGTGCTTTCCCCTCGCTGTGAACCATGGGCATGATACCACGAGGATCAATTCTCGCTGTCTTGAGCATCCTTGGACTCGCTTTTGCTCAGGATGTTCACAATGTTACCGTCGGCGATTCAGGGTCCTTCTTCGTCCCCGATATTGTCTCTGCGAGAGTAGGCGATATTGTGAGGTTCACTTTCTCCAAGGCGTATGTCATTTCCTTTCTTTCATCTACCCCTTCGATTGACTCAATAAAAAAAGTTTTCACGGAATTGTGCAATCATCGTTCGAGAAACCCTGCGTGCCCCTTCCTGGTGGGTTTGACAGCGGAGTGGTGTCAACTGATTTCACTACCGAGTCGATATGGGATTTGCGGATTACAAATGAATCTGGTGAGTGCGACAACAAGCTGGTCACAACTTTGGCCAGACGCAGAATGACGAACTCTCGTTCTTGACTCAAGTAGCAATATGGTTTTTCTGCCCTTTGAGCAGACCGTTTTTCCATTGCAGCACTGGGATGGTTGGGTGAGTTGAAGGGCCAGAGCTTGTGGCAAGAATTTCGGTCTGACAAAACGAACGCTGGATAGAGCGATTAATCCCCCGAGCTTTTCTATGATGGATGATTACAAGACAAGAGCGAAGATGTTCCCTCAGAACTCTGCCCCCGTGAGTTGGGGATTTTCTTTCAATCCGTTGTTTCATTTCCTGATACGTATCACTCTTTGTGCAGTCCGTCTCGACGGTCCTATCTGGTATCGGTGCTGTAGCCAGTATACCACCGTCAACTCCAATGGGCATCTTTCCAGATCCTCTGACTCGGAATACTCCATCAGATTCTTCAACGAGCTCAATCTCTTCCAAGACCGGGACATCCGCTGCCCCCACGAACACACCCGCGAGCTCGAGTTCATCACGTCACACGGCAGCAGTAGTGGGGGGAGCAGTCGCAGGCGTCGTAGCTCTGCTCGCCACGATCATCATTATTGTCATCCTCCTCAGGAAACGACCACAGCGTCAATCGGGACCGTATCAACACGAGATAGTCCAAGTAGTGATGTTACGCGACTCTGATTCGAGCCGCCGGTTCCAACCGGCTTAGCTGGAATCGGTTCGGAGCTGGAACTGGCAGGGAGCTGGAGCCGGAACTGGAAGGTCAACAAACTTGGAGTCGCGGCTCGTGCTGGCAGAGCCGGTCCAGAAGTCGGTTCCAAAATGGCTCCTGTTACTGAGGGTGTGGAACGTGGCGTGTTCTGCGAGACCCAGAATGTTCCCAGATACCATATCTAACCCTGAATGATGTCGAACGCGAATAACTGTGTCCACAGTTGCTTAGTTGGCATTCACCAACATCTCAGCTGCGACTCAACCCACCCGGGGTTCACCCCGACGTGACGATACCAAGGGTACCTACAATCTCCTGCATGAGAGTGGATAGTGGTGGAACGAGGCCTCCTGGGACTCTAGGCAGACCTACGGAGTAGTTGAGAATCTATGTGTTGATTGGCAATGCCAATCAGACATTTTCCCTGCCAGATTTTTGCATGCCACGGGAGCTGTATCAACTCTCGGTTCAGTTCCAGCTTAAGCCGGCTCGGAGCTGTAGCTGGTACATAGCTGGAGCTGGAACTGGAAGTACCGAGATTTCTGGAGCTGTCTTGATACCGATATCATCAAAGTTGAACAGTACGCCGACAGGACTGACAAGTTACAACACTTGAATTTGAAACACAGTCGCTAACATTCATTGGACCATCGATGGCTCTGGTAACGAATCCCTCTCGAGTATGGACCGACCATGGGTACAGTACAACCATTATCTTTCTTTCGCAGTGTCCCGTAACTTCTCATATGGGTAGGTGCCTGACTCGAGGAATGCCAGATGTGTGTGAACGTATCAAAGTCATCTATCAGGAATCTTGGACAAGCGGTGAGCTTTCCTCGTGTATCAGCATCCCGCTACATATTCAAATGACGACATTTTCGGTACCTTTCTCAAACTTGCACTTGGATGCGACCCACGCTTTGCCACATATCACCTCCTTTCCTCCTCGACTTCCCGGAAAGCTCACTCAGCTCCCACTGTGGTACAGCAATCTCGTCAAATGTTTTATCGTGTGGGTGAAAGAGGAAGTTCCCATCATGCGTCTATTCTCTAACATACCCGTGACGCTTTCAAGGGCCTATTTATGTCCTTTCGAGGGACCGGGGCATATTTGACTCGTATGGTGCTTTCCCCTCGCTGTGAACCATGGGCATGATACCACGGGGACCAATTCTCGCTGTCCTGAGCATCCTCAGACTCGTTGTTGCTCAGGAGGTTCACGATGTTACCGTCGGCGATTCAGGGTCCTTCTTCGCCCCCGATACTGTCTCTGCGAGAGCAGGCGATATTGTGAGGTTCACTTTCTCCAAGGCGTATGTCGCTTCCTTCCTTTCATCTAACCCTTTGACTGACTCAAATAAACTAGGCCTCACGGAATCGTGCAATCATCGTTCGAGAAGCCCTGCGTGCCTCTTCCTGGTGGGTTTAGTAGCGGAATGGTGGTCAATGGTGCCACTACCGAGTCGACATGGGATTTGCAGATTACAAATGAATCTGGTGAGTGCGACAACAAGCTGATCATAAGTTTGGCCAAACAACCTCTTGTTCTCCTTTTCAAGTAGCAATATGGTTTTTCTGCCCCTTGAGTAAACCGTTATTCCATTGTAGCACTGGGATGGTCGGGTAAGTTCAAGGGCCAGAGCTTGTGGCACGAATTTTGGTCTGACAAAACGAACGCTGGATAGAGCGATCAATCCCCCGAGCTTTTCTATGATGGATGATTACAAGACAAGAGCGAAGATGTTCCCTCAGAACTCTGCCCCCGTGAGTTGCGGATTTTGCCTCAACCTGCTCTTTCATTTCTTGATACGTATCACTATTTGTGCAGTCTGTCTCGACGGTCCTATCTGGTATCGGTGCTGTAGCCAGTGTACCACCGGCAACTCCAAGCACCATCTTCGATCCTTCGAACATCCCATCAGATTCTTCAACGAGCTCAATCTCTCCCAAAACCGAGTCACCTGTCGCCCCCACGAATCCACCCGCGAGCTCGAGCTCATCACATCACACGGCAGCAATAGTGGGGGGAGCAGTCGCAGGCGTCGTAGCCCTGCTCGCCACGATCATTATCATTGTCATCCTCCTCAGAAAACGACCACAGCGTCAAGTGGGACCGCTTCAACACGAGACAGTCGAGACGCACTATTTCCCCGCACCGAACTCACCACCCAACTCGGGGAAAGCCGAGTCGTTCGCTACCGCGACAGGGCATACGCCTCCTGCTTTGTATCCGACTCGACGACAGGAAGAAGGCTTCCCCAGCGTTGGGCACGCTTACAGCAGTCATCCAGGCCAGTCAAGTACCTCATCGAATGCGCGCGGGCCACCCCAGGGGGCTATGCACGTCCGCAATCAGAGTAGTCTAGGCGAACTGCCACCAGGCATGGGACATGTGCCTTCTGTCGAGCGGCTTCGGGGGCACCCGTACGCATTTGCGGGCAATAGTGGCGACACTGAGAATGGAGAAGACTCCAGACGTTCGGAAGCTGAAGCTAGGTCAGAGAATATTAGCTCATTGGCAAAAGAGGTGGCGGCCGT